GTTGCTGTATGTGGGACGGGGCCTCAGCATGGCCAGAGAAGCGGTGCGTCAGGTGCACGCCCAGGATCCGAACCTGGGCCGCCAGTAGCAGAGCGTGCGAGCTTAACCCCTAAGCCACGGGGCTGGCCCCAGTGCAGCCTTCTCTTAAAAGCCATAGGGTACTGCACTACTCCTCGTGATTTCCCTAAACCCTGCCTATACCTTTGTAAATAATACCTTATTAAACTCTACTCAAGTTACTCTAAATTCAGTGGGTCATCTGAATCCTAGTGGGACTGGTGGATACAATAAAGGGTACCCAGGATTGGCCCCAAGAAAGAGACTCTCAAAATAGGAGTCTGGGATTGGCTTGGTTATGAAGCTGGGCACCTGAGGGGTGCTGTAGATATTAAATCAATTGGCTGTTTTTCCTTTTTAACTTGAGGGATGACTCAGGGGTCTCGAGGATTTGTGAGCTTGTTTTGCAGGAGAAGGAGAATGCCTCAGGGAGGTCGATGGCCAGCCCTCGGCAGCTGTTGAAGCCCAGAAGTCAGATTGCCAAGAGGCTTATTGGGAATGACCCCTTTGTTTCCCTAAAGCCTCTCCTGCCAAGCCTCTTAGCTCTATAAAACACTCCTCCTTTCTGTTCTTGGAGAAGTGGATTTGAGTGAACCCAGGCTTCCACCTACTTGTTTTTTGTGTGTGTCTATGTGAGGAAGATCAGCCCTCAGTTAACATCCATGCCAATCCTCCTCTTTTTGCTGAGGAAGACTGGCCCTGACCTCACATCTGTGCCGATCTTCCTCCACTTTATATGGGACGCTGCCACAGCATGGTCTGACAAGCGGTGCGTCGGTGCATGTCTGGGATCCGAACCTGGGCCGCCAGCAGCAGAGCGTGCAAACTTAACCGCTATGCCATGGGGCCAGCCCCCTCCCACCTACCTGTTTTGGCCAATTCTAATAAATCTTTCTCCATCTCCAAGCGCTAATGTCTCAGTGTTTGGCTTGCTGGGCGTCAAGCGCACGAACTTGAGATTAAGGGATTTGGTATCAGTTATATGCTTTAGGAGCTCATGGCTCATCTATCTGTGAGGAGGAAATAGGGGTGGGTAACACATGGCAGCTAGTAGGATTGCAATTACTCAAGTTATCATCAGCAGTTGCATTGGAGGAAGTGCAGCTGTTAGCACTGGGAAATTAAGTGGTGTGGCACCCACTTCATTGCTGTGACAATAGTGATTATGAAGTTTGTAGAGTCCCCTGCTTCTTAGGATATCCCTAGAGAGAGACACATGGGCAAAGGGGGACATGAAAAGCTGTAAATATAAAATTGAGACCATGCATAGAAAGTTAGAAACCCTGGGAAAAGAATGGGAATTTGGAGAGTGTGTGTCTGGCCTTGTCATAGGTAACCAAGGGAGTCATCAGCAAGTCTTATCCAATCATATGAGCAAGGGAGGCTCTTTGCAGTAAGTAGTTTCCAGAACACAAAAGGGTGGGAGAATTAACTGTCCTGGTTTTCCAGCGGCACAAGTAAAGTTCAATATTGTCACTCTCCTTTATGTATTAGTATTTGAACCACAGATATAAATGACTAGCTTACTCAAAGATACCTTACCTGTCTTCATTTAAAATATTTCTTGGGGGGCTGGCCTGGTGGCATAGTGGTTAAGTTCGCGTGCTCTGCTTCAGCGGCGTGGGGTTCACAGGTTGAATTCCGGGCGCGGACCCGTGCATTGCTCACCAAGCCATGCTGTGGCAGCATCCCACATAGAAAATAGAGGAAGATTGGCATGGATGTTAGCTCAGAGCCAATCTTCCTCGAGCCAAAAAAAGAGAAAGATTGGCAACAGCTGTTAGCTCAGGGCCACTCTTCCCCACCAAAAAATACGTATATATATATATATATATGTATTTTTTTGATCAGTTGTTCTCAACAGGGAATGATTTGGCAATGCTTGCAGATAGTTGTGTCACAACTGGGTTTGGGTGGGGTGCTACCGGCATCTAGTGGTGGAAACTGGGGATGCAGCTATACATTTCTGCACAGGACAGCCTCCTACGACAAAAGAGTTATCAGGCTGCAAATGTGATTAGTGCTGAGGTGTGTGTGTGTGTGAGGGGGTGGTGTGTGCAGAGGGTTGGGCAGAAAAATCGCTACCCACCTCTCCTTTGAGGACCAGGGCTTTAGACACTGGGCAACAATGTCTGAAAACCTAAATTCCTTCTGAGATGCAGAAAACAAGCAGGCTCTAGGATTTTTAAGCGCCTCTTGATTTTCCCTTGGAGTTACTGATCATTATTCATTTATTTGTTTGTTACCTTTTATTTGAAACACAGCAGCTCAAACTTGTAGGATTTTTATATGAAGTTTGTCAAATTTTAGTTATAAAAACTCAGAAAGAAGTGAAACAGCACATTGTTAGCCATTGATGATTAAGTAGCTAGAAACTAAAGTTTCTTCCTTTTTGCAACCATTGGCTATAGCTTTCAGCTGTTTACCCACCCATTGTTAACTGTGTTTCTTAGGCAATATGCTCTCTGACTCCCACTAGATTCCTATAGATAACTCCTCCCTGGTTATCACCATGGTAATGGATGTTCTAGCTGTTTTTCAGGAGTTTGAACCCCTTGTCCATTTCAGACCTGTTGAGACCACCAACCCATCAACTGGGCTCGAGCAGATGTCCGATACGTGACCTTTTGACGTCAAGAGGCTAAAAACTCCATCCTCGGGTCATGCCAATGCCTCTATTTTGTGAACATGCGTCCTATGAAGAGGCATGAAGTCTGACTATGCTTGTGCGGATCATCAATTACCTCACCTCTCCTCAGCTCCAATCATCTATCTCCACATTTTAGACCACCTTGCCCATTCCCCCCACCTTGCCCATAAAGATCCCTGAGTCCCTATTTTCGGGGAGGTGGATTTGAGACTTCTTCTCCCATTTTCCTCACCTGGCTGCCTTGTGATTAAACCCTCTCTCTCTGCAATCTCGCCGTCTCAGTGATTGGTTTTCTGGGAGGCAGGCAAAACGAAGCTGGTTTGGTAACAGAAGGACCTCAGACTTTAGCTGAGAACCAGGAAAGGGCAGAGAGCAATCTTTTTCCATAAGGGATCATATAGTAAATATTTTAGGCTTTGTAGGTCTAGAGAAAAACTCACTTTCCCCTGTGTGTCTCCTTGAATCTCACACTACACTCAATACTTCACTTCTGACACTTCTGGCCACCAAATGTGTGCGGGTGTGTGTATGGAAGGGGATTTCCCCCACGCTAGATAATTCTGACTCTCTGGACATCAGAGGGATGTCTTACAATTTAACTGAATTCTGACACTATCCACCTGGAGAGAATGTCAGATCCCACAGGTTAAGGGTTCAGTCCCACAAGACTGCCCCTCTCCCCACTGCAGATGTCTGTTGCAAGGCCAGATTGTCACCTGTGCTTGACCTGGCTATAAATCATAGGTTCCCTTGACCGCCCCCCTCAGTTTCAATTAATTTGCTAGAGCAGTTCACAGAACTCAGGAAAACAGGTTACTTACTAGATTACTTTGTTTCAGAGGCCAGATGAAGAGATACATAGGGCGGGGTCCAGGAGGGTCCTGAGCACAGGAGCGTCTGATTCCCTGGAGTTTTGGATGAGTCACCCTCCCGCCACGTAGATGCATTCTTGTTCACCAACTTGGAAGCTCTCCAAGCCTCATCCTTTTAAGTTTTTATGGAGGCTTCATTACATAGAGGTGATTCGTTAAATCATTGGTCACTGGTAATTAATGGTAATTGGTTCAACCTCCAAGGCTTCTCCCCTCCCTGGAGGTCAAGAGTTTAAGGCTGAAAGTTCCAACCCTCTAATCAGTTTGGTCTTTCTAGCAACCAGCCCTGAAGCTATCTAGGAGCCGCTAAGCCAAGAGTTATCTCATTAGCATACCAAAGGCACTCTTATTACTCAGGAGATTCCAAGGGTTTGGAATTCTGTGCCAGGAACTTGGGACAAAGACCAAATATTTTTTATTATACCATATAGACAAAAACTGGCCCTCAATTCAAACAAGCAGTGTCCCCATCCTACTCTCAAAGAACACACAGAACGCACCTCAGAAGATAGGTACCTCTGCTTGAAAAGACTGTGCCCTCCATGAAGCTGGCTTAGCTGGTGCAGATATCTTATCTGGGTTCAGATCCCAGGCACCCACCGACACACTGCTTGTCCAGCTGTGCTGAGGCGGCATCCCACATACAGCAACTGGAAGGATATACAACTATGACATACAACTATCTACTGGGGCTTTGGGGAGAAAAAGGGAAAAAAAAAAGGAGGAGGATTGGAATAGATGTTAGCTCAGGGCTGATCTTCCTCACAAAAAAAAAAAAAAAGAAGAAATACACTTTTGTGTAACTCAAGGATTAAATAAGAATCTCTATGGACTTAATTCAAGCATATTTCTCTGCATGCAATCTAGAAGAAATGAGGAAAAAATAAAGAGGAAAATGAAGATGACTCAAAGAGGAGAAGGTGAAATGAGAATTCGTTTACCAATATCCTAATGTGGAAGCAAATGAGTGTCCACTGAAGTTTACTAACACATGGATTGTACTCCCCATATTTACTATTTTTTCCCTAGCTTTATTGAGATTTAACTGACTTTTTTAACATCTCATAATTATTCATTTAATTTTACTAGTGCTTAATAAGACACATTTTTGCATCTATAATATATTAAATTATCTCCTATATCCCAATATATGAGATATATTCCTAGATCACTGTTTGTAATATTACTCTGCCCATTTTATAGATGTTGAACTAAACTCAGAGAGTTAAGTTAGTTGATAAATGATGGGTAGTAAAACACAGGACAGCAGGATTTGATACTAAATTATTTGACTTGAAAGCCAGTGATTAATCACCTTGCTAGGAGAATTGAATGACGGATGAGTCAGGATTTGAGGCATACTTGGTATTTTATTCCCTTTGACTCATTCTAGAAGCCCACACCCAAGGCAGATGACAGGATCAAGAAAAGGAAAATGTTCCAGAGATGAGTTTCCTCAAGGCCCCCGTCATGTCCCTGTTCCTGAGGCTGTAGATGAAGGGGTTCATCATGGGAGTGACCACAGTGTACATCACTGAGGCCACTGCCCTCCTCCTGGAGGAGAAATTAGCTGCAGAACTAAGGTAGACACCAACACAAGTCCCATAGAACAGGAAAACAACAGACAGGTGAGACCCACAGGTGGAAAAAGCTTTATACTTTCCACCAGTTGATGGGATTCTTAGGATGGAGGAGACAATTCGAGTGTAAGAGAAAATTATCCCTGAGAGGGGACCAACACCTAACAGACTAGTCACTAAATACACCAGGATGTTATTGATAAGAGTATCAGAACAGATGAGTTTGAGGATCTCAGCGAGTTCGCAGAAGAAGTGGGGAATTTTCAAGTCTGTGCAGAAGGACAGATGCAACACCATCACAGTGTGGAACAAGGCATTCATAATGCTAATTAACAAGGAGAAAAGAATCAGAAGGCCACAGAGGCAGGGGTTCATGATGACTGTGTAATACAGAGGGTGGCAGATGGCCACATAGCGGTCATAAGCCATCATGGTCAGGAGTATATTGTCCATACATATAAAAACCATAAAAAAATATACCTGAGTGAGGCAGCCTGTGTAGGTGATGGCATTGTTCTCTGTCTGTATGTTCACCAGCATCTTGGGGACTATAGTGGAGGTGAAACAGATGTCAACAAAGGACAGGTGGGAGAGGAAGAAATACATGGGCGTGTGGAAGTGGGAGGCAGAGATAACCACTAGGATGATGAGCAGGTTTCCGAACATGTACCTGTGACCAGGTACATGGTCAGGAACATCCCAAAAAGAAGGGGCTGCAGTTCTGGATCCTCTGAGAGACCCAGGAGGAGGAATTCTGAAACTCCTGTCTGGTTTCTTGATTCCATGTTGTTGACGAGTCTGGAAAATAGAGACATGAATGACAATGAAACAGACACAAAGACTTTGTTTGTTTGAGAGAAGTCTTTCATCTATGCCTTCAATTCTACTAATATGTAAACAGTTCTTCCATTCAGCTTTCTCCTCTCATTCCTTCCTTCCTCAAGTAATTTTTGAGTGACCTCTATTGTAGCATACGTTTTTCTAATGCTGAAATTAAAAAATGAAAACAAGCACTTTTTTTTTAGTGACTATAATGTCTGCATGCCATTTTATATCTAGGATTAAATCCTAGTAGTTTCTTCATACAGCATCAAACCTGGTTAGATGATTTCATTTTCTTAAAGAATCTTAACTCTCTAAGTAACTCTATACTACCTGAGTCTGCTTATAATTATAAATCTCAGGTACTGCTGGAAATTATAATCTCATATTCTCTGCTGCCTCAATGTGAAAAATAACATCATACATCCATTCCTTTAAATATTCTCTATTTTACAATTATACCAAACCACTCTATTGGGGCCCATCTATTTTGAAGGAATTGCTTCAGCCACCGAAATTGCTTTTGCTGGACTGTGATTAGTCATTTGTCATCAGCCTACAGTGAAGGACATCATAAGGAAAGTTTGAATGAGTCTCTGTATTGTGTCTACTGTAGAAACGTCACACTTATAGGGGAAATTCCTGTCTGGTCCTTAAAACAAGAATAGCTATGGCTGGCCTAGTGGTGCAGCGGTGAAGTGGACACGCTCTGTTCCAGCGGCCTGGGGTTCACAGGTTCAGATCCCGGGCGTGCACCAAAGCACCGCTTGTCAGGCCATGCTGGGCGGCGTCCCATATAAAGTAGACGAAGATGGGCATGGATGTTAGCCCAGCGCCAATCTTCCTCAGCAAAAAAGAGGAGGATTGGCATTGGATGTTAGCTTAGGGCTTATCTTCCTCCCCCCATCTCCCCCCAAAAAAGAATAGCTAATGTTTTTTCTGAACAACTGGTTTATTTTCTCTAGTAATCACTGTTTCTTTCATTTCTTTGGCTACTAGGAAGCTTAGAGCCACATATGTGGACCATGTCTTGAAACTCAGAGTCAGTATACAGCATATTTCTTTCAACTAATTTTTCCTTGGTAGCCACCTTCTAGGGCATGTTCATATGTCAATGGTTTTGTAATATCCTCCACCATCCAAGCACTCTTTTTTTTTTATAATTTTATTTATTTATTTATTTTCCCCCCACAGCCCCAGTACATAGTTGTATGTCATAGCTGCACATCCTTCTAGTTGCTGTATGTGGGACGTGGCCTCAGCATGGCCAGAGAAGCGGTGCGTCGGTGCGCGCCCGGGATCCGAACCCGGGCCGCCAGCAGCGGAGCTCGAGCACTTAACCGCTAAGCCACGGGGCTGGCCCCTCCCCTCCATTTTCTAATACACAGGTTGTTATCTATTTCAACAGTTACTATTCTGGAAACATGAATGGAGGATATACATTTGGAAAATTTAAAGGTGCAAGAAAGAGACTTTACAACTTTTCTGCGTTAAAATGTTGAAGGATTTCTCAAAAAATTAAAAATAGAATTACCATACGATCCAGTAACACTGCTTCTGGATATATACCTAAAAGAATGGAAAGCAGAATCTCAAAGAGATATCTGTACACTCATGTTCATTATTATTATAGCAGTATTATTTATTCGCAATAGCTGAAAGGTGGAAAAAACCCAAGTGTCCATTGACAGATGAATGGAAAAGCAAAATGTGGAATATACATACCATGGAATATTAAATATTATTCAGCCTTAAAAGGAAGGAAATTCTGACACATGCTATAACATGGGGAGGACATTATAACTTGAGGACATCATGCTAAGTGAAATAAGTCAGTCACAAAAAGACAAATACTGTATCATTCCGCTTATATGACGTCCCTAGAGGAGTCGAATTCATAGAAGAGAAAGCAGAAGAGTGGTTGTCCGGGGCTGTGAGAGGCAGAACAGATAGTGTTTAATGGTATTCGAGGTTCAGTTTTGAAAATGAAAAGAGTTCTGGAGATGGACAGCGGTGATGGTCTCACAACAATAGAAATGTACTTAATGCCACTGAACTGTACACTTAAAAATGATTAAAATGGTAAATTTTGTTATGCATATTTTACAACGATTGAAAAATAAATCAATTAATAAAAATTGTTGAAGAAACTCTTTCTGATTTGCTTTACTCAGGCTCCTGTTCTTCATGGTGCTTTGAGAAATCAGTCATTCCTCATTTCTTGCACTTTGTGGATGTTCTTAGGGAACATAGACCCACCCTCACTTCTGTCTCTTCCTTTTCCCTTAGCCAGAGAATCCTGCAGAACAAGGGACCACTTAACACCATTCACGGAGGCTCAGACCTTACCTCCTCTTGTTCTTGGTAGAATTATATCCAAGTCCAGCTCAGAAATGACTCAGGATGAATGTTGTCTCCTGGAAGAATCCACAGCATGTGCAAATCTTAGATCTTTACCTATTCTGTCCCTTCAGTCTACTTTGGGATCCTGGTAGGCTAGTCATTGGGCCCTTCCAAAGAGGCAAGAAAGGATTGACTGGGCGGGTCTCTAAGTGTTTATCAATTGTTCTTAGGAATGAAGGGGTAGGAACCATCCAGAATGAGCCACCAGGGTCAGGGGTTAAAAAGATAATGAGAATTACAGAGCTCTCAACATCCAACCTCCATGCCCCACAAACTGGGGGACAAAACAGAGACAGAGACTGATGAGTTGGTTAGTCTAGAGGAAGACAGCAATTACTGTAGCGCTGTGGCTCTCAAACTCTCCAAAGTGTGCATCAGAAATCACCCAAAGAGGGGCGGGCCCCGTGGCTTAGCGGTTAAGTGCACACGCTCCGCTACTGGTTGCCCGGTTTCGGATCCCGGTTGCGCACCGACGCACCGCTTCTCCGGCCATGCTGAGGCCGCGTCCCACATACAGCAACTAGAAGGATGTGCAATTATGACATACAACTATCTACTGGGGCCTTGGGGAAAAAAAAAAGGAGGAGGATTGGCAATAGATGTTAGCTCAGAGCCTGTCTTCCTCAGCAAAAAGAGGAGGATTAACACAGATGTTAGCTCAGGGCTGATCTTCCTCACAAAAAAAAAAAAAAGAAAAGAAAAGAAATCACCCAAAGAGCTAGTTAAAACTCAGATCTCTGGGTCCCACCCAAGGGTTTCTGATTTACTAGGTCTGAGGTGGGGCCCCAAAATTTGCATTTCTAATAAGTACCTAGGTAATGCTGATACTGCACTGAGGAGGGGCGCATACTTTGAGAATCACTGCTGTAGAAATTTCTAAGGCATGGTGTAGAATCAGCCATAGCTGGATTCAAATACTGTGTAAAGCCAAGAAAGGAAATCCTTGAACATGCTTGAGTGTTTCTCCTCTGGGTAGTAAGAATGAGAATATAGTATCTACATCCCAGGAATATGCTTGAAAAGGAAAAAATAAAGCACAATGCAGAGTTTGCACTCATTGTCCATATTATTACTATCACTAGGGCTTGAGAAGAGATCTTGACATGATTCTTTCCTTAGACGGGTGTGTGTTGGATGGTGTAGGAAAGAACGGCAGGAAGATAAAGGAGGAGGAGGAGGGAGAAGAGAGAGAGAACATTCATGGGACAATGTCTGTGAATTGTGAGGAAAGACTACCATTTTGCAAATTCTGCTGGGACCCTTGACCACATCAAGGAGCGAGTTGACTGGGGAGGCTGATCTCCTTCCCTTGAATCTCAGTGTCTCCCTTAAAGGATTAGATCTAAAATCAGTGCCATGAGGATCAGCAGCACAGGTCCCATCCTGCCCTTCCTGGTGCATCAGAACAGACTGGAATCCTTAGAAAATTTTAGAAAGTCTTGGTTCCTTTGAGTAGGGTTCCTTTGACTAGGTTTCTGCAATTTTAGGGTGAGAGAAAGGGATCAGCAGAGCCAGGAACAATTGCAAATATAGTGCCAGGGGAATTGGAAATACGCCAAGCAGTTAATGAAAACTTGGAGGTGGCCTTAGACAGCCATTCTCAATCTTGACCGTGCATCAGAGTCACCAGAAGTCACTCGTGTTTCTTTGCTGGATGCCACCCCAGAGTCTCTGATTCAGCATGTCTAGGTGAGGCTTGAGAAAGAGCATTTCAAATAACTCCCCAGGTAATGCTATTGATGGCAGGACCAGCTGCATAATTTTTGGGTCCCAGTTCAAAACAAAAATGTGGGACCCGTTGCTCAAAAACTTCAAGACAGTGACAGCAGAGCACGAAACCAAGGGTGGGGTCCTCTGTGACTGTCCAGGTCGCACGCCCATGAACCCAGCCCTGGCTGCTAGTCTGGGGACAACATTTTGAGAACCATTGGTTTAGACTTCCTACTTAATTAACCTAGGACTATCCTCAGATGGGATTAATAATATTAATAATATTAATAAATTGCCCCTTTTCCTCCTGAACTTACAAGGGATTGTATCTCCAGGATGGCTCCACAGAAGATCACAGGAGCTGAGTTTCTCCCCAGGATGTGGATGTTGAAGACAAATTGACCCTTGTGAATGTCAAGGAGACAATCCTGTATGGAGTTTCTGGACAAGACCCAATCTCTAAGAAGAGACAGTGTCTTCTTTCTGGTCTGGCAGGGATGAGATTGTGTTGATAGGGGACAGGTGGTCTATGTACATTTTTTTTCTGTCCCTAGGGGCCTTATCTCCAAAGCTCCTCATTAGTCAAATTATTCTCTTCATTCCAATCCTTCAGCAGAAGGAAGGAAACTACTGATTTGCTAATTACCTGAGTGAGGATAAGCATGTGCCTTTTTCTCTCCTTTGCCTCTGTTCTGTTCCAGAATTAAAGCTCACTGTCCAGGGCTGATCAAGAGACCCAACAGAGGTGACAGTCACTCTTCACCAAGCACCATCACTTTTCCAGGAGGCAGTTTCCCAAACGTCAGTCATTCGTGATTGTCTTCATAATTGTAACCAATACTCTCATGGA